GGGATCCAATGTTACTAATAGAAAAACACAATTAGATTATGTCCAAAAACCAAGGAGAAAAGTTAGAAAAAATTGGTTTGATAAGGCCCATTCGTCGCCTTCTTATTGGACTTAAATCTCTCATCAATCTCCAATTCTTCATTATAAGTTAGTCTTGTACCCACAACCAATTAAACCATAAATAATCAAATAAACAAATAACAAAAATACATTACACTGAAAGATAAATGCGCCCCATTGTTGATGCTTCCAAAGTTGATGGAACTTGGAATTGAACCTAACAATAAATACATATTGATCATGTTCACGAGAATATTCCTTTAAATTACATTGATTTTTTATTAAATTTTTTTTAACTTTTTTTAAAATATCAAAATCAGTATATTTTGAAGATAAAAAAGAAATTATATAAAAAGATAATTTTTTTATTACCTAAGTCAACTTGAAAAATATGAATAATTTTGTTTTTTCAACTACTATTATTTTCTACGTAATAATTGAACACATTAAAAAGTATGAAACTACTGACTAAGTCATACACCATAAGCAAGGAATCAATTGCCGAGTTTGATTGAAAATTTTTAAGAAACTAAAAATTTGAAATACTTTTAGAATAAGTTTAAAATAAAGTTTAATGGAGCAAAATATAATTATATATATATATATATATATATATATATATATATAAATTTGTACTTCAAAAAATTAAAAAGAAAAGTTTAGACAAGTTATAGTCCATTTAACTCTTTGAAAGATCTATCAATATAATCAATTAATTTGAGTTTTTTTTTAAGCTTAATGAGATTGAAATTAACTTCATATGACCTGTTAACCTATGTAAAGCAACTGTTTTTTTTTTATTATAATTTGACTTGATGTGTGATTGCTATAAAGTGTTTTCAACCCTAGTCACATGCTTTGAAGATAAACTAGACTGCAAGCCACATGCTTGGAACCTAATTGAATATTTAAATCGGATCGATAATAGATTTTACCTATTTTTTATACTTAAAAAAAAGAAAAAAGCTGCTTTGATCTCCTTTTAAAGGTAAAAAAGAGAGAGGAACATAAAGTTCTTTTCTTATTTATTGTCCCCAAGATTTTTTCTTAACCCACTAGATCATGTACAATTATTTTGATGGTGGCAATTTTAAAAAGGAAATTGTTCACAACTCAGAGAAGAAAAAATCTCTATTAATTTTACGAGAAAATATATAGTAGTAAACTTAAAATAAAATTATATTTAGTTTATGTTAAAAGGTGAACAATCTTAATTTCCATAAAATTCTTAAAATGTGTATAATGTAGAATCCTTAGTACTACTACATGTGCATGTGTTGTTGAAATTTTAGTTCTTCCTAACACAGCATGCCTTTGTTTTAGGGTTGTCTTGGATTCTTGGTGATCCAAACAGATCATCCTACAATGAGTTGCAACTTCATCATTTCCAATAAAAATGGGGTTGTTAATGAGGCAATGTCAATGGAAGAGGACATTGATTTTGGACAAGTATGCAGTTTTCGGATTTGCATGAAATTGTTCAAATGTCGAGTACAAAGACAATTGGGTAGTAGCAAAAATTATGAATGATTGTGTTTTCTTTGTAGATGAGGATTCTAAGATGGGGTATGTGACCATCATCATGATAGTGTACAAGGGACCACAACCGGAAAAGCAATTAAAAAATTATTATAGGTTCTTAGAGTTCCTATATATAGGATTGTAGAATTAACTTCACTTTAAGACATTTTTTTCAATGGTAAAAGAGAATTAGTGAAACATTCAAGTATGAGAGAAAGATAGAACATGATCAATTTTAGCAATAACAATGCCATCAAGGTAAAAAAATGTGAGGAGGCATAACTAAACTTAAATGATGAGATTTAAGACCAATAAAGGAAACTACAATCAGATAAGTAAAAGGTCAAAATGAAATATAAAAAATATAGAAGAGTTTGTTTAAGAGTGTATTTTCCTTTTTCATAGTTTAGAATTTGTTGGTGAGAATGTATTTTTCAAAATTTATAAAAAAAAGGTACATATAGAAGTATTTTAGAAGTAAAAGGGTGAGAACCTACGTTATCATGACCATAAATTTAGAAGTATTTTAAAGAACTGGACTTATTTATAAAACTTTTTTATGTGAATAACATTTTCAGTAATAACGATTCCAAAATTATTATTATTATTATTATTATTTTATAAATATAATTAAATCCATAAAGTAAACATTTTTTAAAATTTTATGCATCGATCTATTGAATGGTAAAAAAATAGAAACTTACTTTTTAATATGTCGTTGAAGTTACTTTATAGAATGATTAATGATATTTAAAAAGTCATTTGGCCACAACTTTCATAAAGTGAACAAATGTTAGATTAGTTGTTAAAGAAAGCATATCCATTTATAAAAAGTTTTTAAATAAATTAGTTGACAATTGAATGAAATTTAATCCGTCAAAGTTTTGAAGGTGTATAGTTTTAGTTAACTATTTATATGGGTAAAATTAAGATGTTCTTCAAACATTAATTCTTGTATTGTAGAGTGTGAAGAGTTTGTGGTTTGGTACAATGGATGTGTCTTTTTGCAACCTTATCTTTCATGTTCTAAAGATAATGAGTTGTAAATTGTTAACAATTTGAAAAGGAAAAGTTTGAAATTTGTTTTGTTTTACATTGTTGGACAAAAGGGAAATGATAGAAAGCTGAAGTTGATTTGTATTTGTGGAGAAAAGAGTCGCATTCCTCCATTTATAAGATTAACCAAGTTCATTTAATTTGCTACTTTCACACAATTATACTTCTTATCAGCTACAAGTCAAAGTTACACATTATATATGAATTTATGTTAGTATAATTTATGTTAGTATAATTTTTTATTAAATGTTATATCATTTAATATCTTTTAAATGAATTGTGTTTTCAAGTTGATACTTACATGTACGTACACATAGAATTGTTTTTAAATGAATTATTCTAGAACTTAATTAAGAAAATGCTAAATAGTTATTAATTTTATTTTAGTTAAAATAATGTCTATCACTCACAACCAAGTTACACTAGATAATTTTTTAACAATAATCTTTGTAATTAATTTCAATAATTACTCTCGTTACTATTTACTAATATATATATATATATATATATATATATATATATATATATAAAATATCATATTGTACTTTTATTATTATAAAATTATTATATAAATAATTATTGAAATTGTTGTATATTTAAGAAATTATATATGAAATGATTTTTTTTCTTACAATTTTGTTTGGTTTGTAACATCTCATTTTAGTAACATATATAAAACTAATAAATTAAGATATTTATTAACAATGTCTTAAATAGAAAATTCACAATCTAAAATATAGAAAAAGTTAAGCCAATATTCTTAACCAAGAGAGGTGAATTGGTTTTACCCTTTAAAAGATTGTTCTTTAAAAAGCTTTTTTAAATATTTAAAGTTTTCTTTGAATGCAATCAATCAACAAGATGAACAATATAAAAGTGTAGGGATAGAGAGATTCACACAGTTGTTTATACTGGTTCGGCTCACTACTTACGTTTAGTTTTCTTTTACTCAACCTTAGACGAATGATTCCACTACATTGATAGAGTTCTTACAAGCAAAACATATAAAGAACAATCATCTCAAATGTACTCTCCTTTCTAACTCAATATCAATTATAGCATACATCCAAAAAGATCACCCACTTTTTGTCATCCTTAGAGTAATCCCAACTCTAAGACTTTGTTCACTTGAATGAATTTGGGAGAGAGTGATTCAAGGGATTTGAAGATAAAAATTTTTGTTGTTTGTTTGAGTGGATTTGGAGGTAAGTGAGAGTTAATTTGGAAGTAAATTTTTTTAATTTTTCATATCAATCAAATCCTACACTAATTCTCACAAAATTTACTTCCAAATTCACTCTCACTTATTTCCAAATCTACTCAAATAAACAACAAAAAAATTTATCTTCAAATCCCCTCAATCACTCTCCCTCAAATTCATTCAAGTGAACAAAAGTCCTAAAACTTCACCAAGTCCTTTTCGTGGCCATGGTAACAGAGACACAATCAACCTTGATTGTAGATAACAATGATATGAAGAAGTACATCTCAAATTACATTGAATATTTTAAGAAAAATTATTGAGTTATTTTTGAATTTGTTTGAGGTTTAATTGCATTGAATATTTTAAGAAAATTTGATACCGTTAAATTTTCATTAAATTCAAACTTTATCATTTCCTTGAAAAGTAGTAGTAGTTTGTTAAAGTTATGACTTTTAAGAAAGAGAGTACTTACATTTACGGCTCTTTAATTGAAATACAATTTTTTTTATTTGTTAACAAATGTATAAATTTAAAGGAATTACGAACATGGTAAGTCATCTAGCTTTTAGAAAATTCAGAAATGTAAAACGAAAATGCAAAGCATGATTACACAATTATTATTATTTTTTTTTAAATTGCTAGAAAACTGTCACAAATTGCTTATAAACTGTTATAATTTTCTTCATAAGTAAACACAAAGGAAATTCTTCCATGTGGTTGAAGATGTAATTTACGACAATTGTTTAGCAGTATAATTTTTTTAAAATAACCTGTAAAAGTTTTGGAACACAATTCCTATATCTCGAAATAGTTTTTGTAAAGAGAATTTCTTTATTTCCAATTTTTTTTCACTACTTTTGTGAAAACATTACAGTACTTTGATAACGAAAAATTCTTCACTGCTGTATCAAATAGTTCTTATTTCTAAACAAAAGGGCAACTTTATCCAAATATTTCATGCAAAGAAAAAGTACGTAAATATTATTTCATAAAAAAAAGAAAAAGAGAAGCTTTTTAGCTTTACGGATTATATCACCTTGTCACATAAAGAGAAGACCTTGCCAGGAACTACGAACGCATGATGCTGTAGAATTATCGTAGGATATCTATACCTATATATACATATATGCGGGAAATGGATGAAGATGGTTTTCGTGAGAAAGACTCAAAGAAATGATTTGACGTTGATGAATGATATTGTAATGGTGTTGGTGTTGATGATGATGATGATGGATGAGTTTACTTACTATAAAAAAAATCCTTCCTTTAATTTAACTATAACTTACCGAAACCAAAAGCAAAGCCGCATGCATGGCCCAGTTCCAACCCAACCAAGTCGAAAGTAACACATTTTTCATACTCAGAAGTACATCCCATTCCCATGGCTCTTTTCCGAAGGTTCTTTTACCGGAAACCACCCGATCACCTCCTCGAGATCTCCGACAGACTCTATGGTGTCTCTCTTTCTCTCTCTCTCTCTCTCTCTCTCTCTCACATTCACTTCCTTTTTTCTTACTTTACCTACTTACTTACACCTTTTTCTTTAACCATGTCTACTTTACATTTGTAATTATTGTTCTTGTGAATTGAAGCATAGTTCTTGTGACTGATGGCTGAGTTTTGACCTCGGTTTCTGAATTTTTTTTCAAGTGGGTTTATGGTAATGCAGTGACAATGTGTACTCTGTTTCTGTTTCTGGGTTTTCTGTGCCATTGGGTTTGGTCTATTCCTGTTGGTCATGTTTTTCAGGTTTGGGAGGGTGTTTGGGGTAAGGGTTATTCAAGATGTAACAAAAATGTGGAACGAGAGGGTTGGATTTGGAGTGACTTGAATAAAATAGTAGTCTCTGTAGCGATTCGTCAGCAGAGGATTTTTAAGTAGAAACTCCAGAAAGGAATGTTGATTTTGTGTGGAAGATGTGTTTTGAGTGAGACTTTTGTACTCGTCCTCAAGGTTTTATGATGTAGTTGCAGTCACAGTTTTGGCAGAATTCTTCGTATTGTGAAAAATTACACACAAATGTTGTCACCACTGGAGTTGCAATGTGATTGTAATTACTAAATCTTGAAGTTGTATCCTGAATCGTGTTTGGAGCCCCTCGTTTAGAACCTTGCTTGTTGTTACTGAGATTATAGTTGTTGTTGTGTCTTGCAGTAACAGTTGTTTCTGTTTAGTGTCAGAATGAATTTTTGTGTAATACTTGACTGTTTATGCAGTTTTTGATTGTTGCTTCTCCAAGAATGTGTTGGAGGAAGAGGAGTACAAGGTTTATGTTGGGGGGGTCGTGGCTCAGCTACAGGATCACTATCCGGATGCTTCTTTCATGGTGTTCAATTTCAGAGAAGGGGATAGGCGCAGTCGAATTTCAGACATAATGTCTCAGTACGAGATGACAGTTATGGAGTACCCTCGGCAATATGAGGGTTGTCCCCTTTTGCCTCTGGAGATGATTCACCACTTCCTTCGGTCAAGTGAGAGCTGGTTGTCCTTGGAGAGCCAACAAAACGTGCTTTTAATGCACTGTGAAAGGGGTGGTTGGCCTGTACTTGCGTTTATGCTAGCTGGTCTTCTGTTGTACAGGAAACAGTACAACGGGGAACACAAAACTCTTGAAATGGTGTACAAGCAAGCACCCAAAGAACTTCTCCACCTTCTATCCCCTTTGAATCCACAACCTTCTCATTTGAGATATCTTCAGTACATTTCCAGGAGGCATTTGGGTTCTCGATGGCCTCCATCAGAAACACCCTTATATTTAGATTGCATTATTCTCAGGGTCCTTCCTCTGTTTGACAGAGGAAAAGGATGCAGACCGGTTGTGCGTGTCTATGGTCCAGACCCTTCAAAACCTTCCAACCGAAGTTCTAAGCTTCTTTCCTCCACTTCAATGGGCCAAAATCATGTTCGCCACTACTTGCAGGTGACTTAGATTTTTAAGTCGTTATTCAGTGAGTTAATTAGATACAATATCCGTGCTATTCATAATTGATTGTGAGTTTATTAGAGAGAATATCCTATTAAGAAGTTTATTAGAGAGAATATCCTATTAAGAAGTTTTAACCACAGGCAGAATGTATGCTCGTGAAAATTGACATCCGTTGTCATGTTCAAGGGGATGTGGTTCTTGAGTGCATACATTTAAGTGATGATTTTGTTCGTGAAGAGGTGATGTTCAGAGTCATGTTTCACACTGCGTTTGTACGGTCAAATATATTGACGCTGAGCCGCGATGAAATTGATATTCAGTGGGATGCAAAGGATCAGTTCCCCAAGGACTTCAAATTTGAGGTAAGTTGTTGTTTTCCTTGTCAGTTGTTTTCTGAAGCAATAGCAGTTGAACACAGTTGTATCTGTATATCAGGTGCTTTTTTTGGACGCTGATGCTGTTATGCCTAATCTAAACACAGTCGATGCGAGTGACACAGAATGTGCTTCACCTGAGGCTGAGGAATTCTATGAAGCTGAAGAGATCTTCAGCAGTGTAATTGATGTACTGGAAGGTAAGGGAGATTACGATTTTCCAATGGTTCATGACAGTGGAGTGGATGATGGAAGTCATAAAGAGATCTGGAAAGAGTATTCAGATCCTCATACTTTTCTGGATTCCGTGTTAGATGATGGGATTAACCAACAGGTTGATGATGGGAGGTACAAGCTTGACAAGGGGGTGGTTTTAGATACTCATGCTGTCAAAGATATTGGAGTGGATTATGGAGTAACTTTTATGACAATGGAAGTCACTCTGAATGCTCTTGATAAATTAGCAGTTAAGCAAAACAAATATGGCGAAGATAACAACAAAATGGAACAAGACTTAGAATCAGAACTAGGGCTGCAGGTGCTTGATATTTCCAGACCAAAATCTGATAAATTACTTATTTCTTCTGAAAAGAAACAACTTCCTTCAAACTCAAAGCCCATGCAAGAACCGCATGGTTTTCAGGCAAATTATGCAAAACCCAATGTAACAACTAGATCGGTTCCTTCTAGTAAGGGTTCTCTTCAAGATTCCATTAATTTCTCACATCCACCTTCAAGGAACAATAGTTCACCACTAACATTGTCATATGTTACCTCTGAAAACAAGGAAATCATTGATGCAAAAGGAAACTCTACTTCTAGTTCTCATGTCTCTGAAGTAATTGCTTTTATGGACACGATAAACGACCTGAAAAGCTGTGATGGTGATAACTCAATTTCTTCAGACGCTGTACCTGAAATAGGCTCAAACTGTCCAGTCAAAGAGACATCTCTTCAGTTAGCTAATCAAGCACCACAACAGAGCTATGATCAAATGTTACAACTTCATCCACCTCCACCTCCTCCTCCACCTCCAATTTTTGGACAAAATACCCATTGGAAATCTGTTGGACCTCCTTCTCCTCCCATTGCAAATGGTGTAATTCCATCAAAAGTTTCACTAGCACCACCACCACCACCTCCTCCTCCCCCTCCTTTGCAGTCTACAAATGAACCTTCGCTTCCTTCTACCTCAATCTCTCCAACAACGTTTAAAGCTCCACCTCCTGCACCCCGATCACCACATTATCCTTCACCTCCTTTAAGTAAATCTACACCACTTCCTCCGCCTCCTTTAGGTACTGCTCCACCAGCACCACCACCTCCTCCTCCTTTAAGTGCTGCTCCACCACCGCCACCTCCTCCTCCTTCTTTATCCAGAGGTTCACCTCCTCCACCACCGCTCCCTCCATCCAGTAGAGCACCACCTCCACCGTCATCTTCTTCACTGTCCAGAGCTCCACCTCCTCCACCTCCACCAAATCGTGGACCACCACCAACAACAATGCCTGGAGGCACAGCTCCTCCACCACCTTTAGGTGGTCGAGGCCAACCTCCTACTGGAACGCGAGCTACTCTTGCTCATTCTCCCCATGTACCTCTTGGTGGTGCTCCTTTTCCTTCACCAATTGGAACTGATACAAGAGGGAAAGGTCGGGGACTTGGACGTCCTACTGGGGCTGGTGCCATGGGAACTCGGAAATCCTCCTTAAAGCCTCTGCATTGGAGTAAGGTAACAAGGGCATTGCAAGGAAGTTTATGGGATGAACTACAAAGACGTGGAGAGCTTCAAATGTAATTTAACTTGCCTATTATTGATTCATTTCAATTCTCTAATGCCTGCTTTCAACTCTTCATGTTTTAATGATTGGTTTTAAATTCTTAGAACACAAGAGTTTGACGTTTCAGAGATAGAGAAGCTTTTTTCTGCAAATGTTCCAAAACCTGCTGATTCAGATGGTAAACCTGGCGGGCGGCGCAAATCTGTTGGATCTAAAGCTGACAAAATCCACTTGGTATTCTTCTATATGAATGTTCTTGAAATTTGATTTTTGAAATAAACCTTGGCTAAGGTAGTCTTGCCTTTGTACTTCACAACAAAGGTTGCTGATGTTCATGGATTCATTATATTACAATTGGAATTTAGTTCCATTGTTTTGTATGCTCAGTAATTTGTTCACAAAGAAATCGTTTCAGTAATTCGTTTTGTTATGTCAAGAATGAATGACTATCTTGGCAACATAACTGTGATATGTTGTCATTACTGTCTCTTCCATTTTCTGGAAATTCCAATTCAAATATTGCACAAGTGCAGTGTGCATTTCTTTGGCTGTTAAAGTATTTATTCAAAATTATTGATATAATGTTCATTTAGTATTTTCCTAGTATCATACCAATAAGTTTTTTCTGATTGATTGTAGATTGACCTAAGGAGGGCCAATAATACTGAAATTATGCTCACAAAGGTTAAGATGCCTCTTCCTGATATGATGGTAAGTTGATACTTCGAAATTTCTTAATTCATGCGAGCATTTTAAAACTATAATCATGCAAGCTAAGATTTCACATTAAAGCATATCATAGTAACAATGGTATTCTTTTTCCATGAAACATAGAATGTAATTTTATGAATGCAAGTATAGCAAGACATGTGGCAGCTTTGTGCATGAAATTGATAAATGCTTTATTGATGATTAAAAAGTATGTCTCTCAAGCTCAAAAGAAAGTGTTACTATATCTATCCAAAAGACTGGCCATGTCTTGTGGTACAGAAGGTTGCACAATAAAGTGCCAAAAAAAGTGTAAGTCAAGTCTTGTAGAGAGTAGAATCTTGTACTGTATATCTGCTTTTGATAATAGATGTTCTTGGAAACAGTTTCTTGCCTTATTATATATCTGCAAAAGTATCAAGCTAAATCTCTTGACTGTAACTTATTCAATTTACGGTTTTGCATGACGAAATTCATATCCAGGCTGCAGTACTGGCTATGGATGATTCAGTGTTAGATGTTGATCAGGTGGAAAATCTCATTAAATTTTGTCCAACCAAAGAGGAGATAGAGCTTTTAAAGGTGAAGCTTAACAAATTTATACGTGATTCTTGCCTCTTTATTAACAATTAAAGGTTTTAATTTCTAGAAATTTCTCTTATAAAATGAGTTGCTACCTTTCATTATAATTTTCTTGCGTTTCTAATTTTCATTCAATTTGGTTATGACTATATAGGGATACACCGGTGATAAGGAGAATTTGGGGAAGTGTGAAAAGGTTTGTGAATGATTTATTTAAGCCATAATATTATATAGTACTTGAGAAAAGTATAATGTGAGCTCAGAAAATTATGCGGGATTTCTATGNTGGAGCCCCTCGTTTAGAACCTTGCTTGTTGTTACTGAGATTATAGTTGTTGTTGTGTCTTGCAGTAACAGTTGTTTCTGTTTAGTGTCAGAATGAATTTTTGTGTAATACTTGACTGTTTATGCAGTTTTTGATTGTTGCTTCTCCAAGAATGTGTTGGAGGAAGAGGAGTACAAGGTTTATGTTGGGGGGGTCGTGGCTCAGCTACAGGATCACTATCCGGATGCTTCTTTCATGGTGTTCAATTTCAGAGAAGGGGATAGGCGCAGTCGAATTTCAGACATAATGTCTCAGTACGAGATGACAGTTATGGAGTACCCTCGGCAATATGAGGGTTGTCCCCTTTTGCCTCTGGAGATGATTCACCACTTCCTTCGGTCAAGTGAGAGCTGGTTGTCCTTGGAGAGCCAACAAAACGTGCTTTTAATGCACTGTGAAAGGGGTGGTTGGCCTGTACTTGCGTTTATGCTAGCTGGTCTTCTGTTGTACAGGAAACAGTACAACGGGGAACACAAAACTCTTGAAATGGTGTACAAGCAAGCACCCAAAGAACTTCTCCACCTTCTATCCCCTTTGAATCCACAACCTTCTCATTTGAGATATCTTCAGTACATTTCCAGGAGGCATTTGGGTTCTCGATGGCCTCCATCAGAAACACCCTTATATTTAGATTGCATTATTCTCAGGGTCCTTCCTCTGTTTGACAGAGGAAAAGGATGCAGACCGGTTGTGCGTGTCTATGGTCCAGACCCTTCAAAACCTTCCAACCGAAGTTCTAAGCTTCTTTCCTCCACTTCAATGGGCCAAAATCATGTTCGCCACTACTTGCAGGTGACTTAGATTTTTAAGTCGTTATTCAGTGAGTTAATTAGATACAATATCCGTGCTATTCATAATTGATTGTGAGTTTATTAGAGAGAATATCCTATTAAGAAGTTTATTAGAGAGAATATCCTATTAAGAAGTTTTAACCACAGGCAGAATGTATGCTCGTGAAAATTGACATCCGTTGTCATGTTCAAGGGGATGTGGTTCTTGAGTGCATACATTTAAGTGATGATTTTGTTCGTGAAGAGGTGATGTTCAGAGTCATGTTTCACACTGCGTTTGTACGGTCAAATATATTGACGCTGAGCCGCGATGAAATTGATATTCAGTGGGATGCAAAGGATCAGTTCCCCAAGGACTTCAAATTTGAGGTAAGTTGTTGTTTTCCTTGTCAGTTGTTTTCTGAAGCAATAGCAGTTGAACACAGTTGTATCTGTATATCAGGTGCTTTTTTTGGACGCTGATGCTGTTATGCCTAATCTAAACACAGTCGATGCGAGTGACACAGAATGTGCTTCACCTGAGGCTGAGGAATTCTATGAAGCTGAAGAGATCTTCAGCAGTGTAATTGATGTACTGGAAGGTAAGGGAGATTACGATTTTCCAATGGTTCATGACAGTGGAGTGGATGATGGAAGTCATAAAGAGATCTGGAAAGAGTATTCAGATCCTCATACTTTTCTGGATTCCGTGTTAGATGATGGGATTAACCAACAGGTTGATGATGGGAGGTACAAGCTTGACAAGGGGGTGGTTTTAGATACTCATGCTGTCAAAGATATTGGAGTGGATTATGGAGTAACTTTTATGACAAAGGAAGTCACTCTGAATGCTCTTGATAAATTAGCAGTTAAGCAAAACAAATATGGCGAAGATAACAACAAAACGGAACAAGACTTAGAATCAGAACTAGGGCTGCAGGTGCTTGATATTTCCAGACCAAAATCTGATAAATTACTTATTTCTTCTGAAAAGAAACAACTTCCTTCAAACTCAAAGCCCATGCAAGAACCGCATGGTTTTCAGGCAAATTATGCAAAACCCAATGTAACAACTAGATCGGTTCCTTCTAGTAAGGGTTCTCTTCAAGATTCCATTAATTTCTCACATCCACCATCAAGGAACAATAGTTCACCACTAACATTGTCATATGTTACCTCTGAAAACAAGGAAATCATTGATGCAAAAGGAAACTCTACTTCTAGTTCTCATGTCTCTGAAGTAATTGCTTTTATGGACACGATAAACGACCTGAAAAGCTGTGATGGTGATAACTCAATTTCTTCAGACGCTGTACCTGAAATAGGCTCAAACTGTCCAGTCAAAGAGACATCTCTTCAGTTAGCTAATCAAGCACCACAACAGAGCTATGATCAAATGTTACAACTTCATCCACCTCCACCTCCTCCTCCACCTCCAATTTTTGGACAAAATACCCATTGGAAATCTGTTGGACCTCCTTCTCCTCCCATTGCAAATGGTGTAATTCCATCAAAAGTTTCACTAGCACCACCACCACCACCTCCTCCTCCCCCTCCTTTGCAGTCTACAAATGAACCTTCGCTTCCTTCTACCTCAATCTCTCCAACAACGTTTAAAGCTCCACCTCCTGCACCCCGACCACCACATTATCCTTCACCTCCTTTAAGTAAATCTACACCACTTCCTCCGCCTCCTTTAGGTACTGCTCCACCAGCACCACCACCTCCTCCTCCTTTAAGTGCTGCTCCACCACCGCCACCTCCTCCTCCTTCTTTATCCAGAGGTTCACCTCCTCCACCACCGCTCCCTCCATCCAGTAGAGCACCACCTCCACCGTCATCTTCTTCACTGTCCAGAGCTCCACCTCCTCCACCTCCACCAAATCGTGGACCACCACCAACAACAATGCCTGGAGGCACAGCTCCTCCACCACCTTTAGGTGGTCGAGGCCAACCTCCTACTGGAACGCGAGCTACTCTTGCTCATTCTCCCCATGTACCTCTTGGTGGTGCTCCTTTTCCTTCACCAATTGGAACTGATACAAGAGGGAAAGGTCGGGGACTTGGACGTCCTACTGGGGCTGGTGCCATGGGAACTCGGAAATCCTCCTTAAAGCCTCTGCATTGGAGTAAGGTAACAAGGGCATTGCAAGGAAGTTTATGGGATGAACTACAAAGACGTGGAGAGCTTCAAATGTAATTTAACTTGCCTATTATTGATTCATTTCAATTCTCTAATGCCTGCTTTCAACTCTTCATGTTTTAATGATTGGTTTTAAATTCTTAGAACACAAGAGTTTGACGTTTCAGAGATAGAGAAGCTTTTTTCTGCAAATGTTCCAAAACCTGCTGATTCAGATGGTAAACCTGGCGGGCGGCGCAAATCTGTTGGATCTAAAGCTGACAAAATCCACTTGGTATGCTTCTATATGAATGTTCTTGAAATTTGATTTTTGAAATAAACCTTGGCTAAGGTAGTCTTGCCTTTGTACTTCACAACAAAGGTTGCTGATGTTCATGGATTCATTATATTACAATTGGAATTTAGTTCCATTGTTTTGTATGCTCAGTAATTTGTTCACAAAGAAATCGTTTCAGTAATTCGTTTTGTTATGTCAAGAATGAATGACTATCTTGGCAACATAACTGTGATATGTTGTCATTACTGTCTCTTCCATTTTCTGGAAATTCCAATTCAAATATTGCACAAGTGCAGTGTGCATTTCTTTGGCTGTTAAAGTATTTATTCAAAATTATTGATATAATGTTCATTTAGTATTTTCCTAGTATCATACCAATAAGTTTTTTCTGATTGATTGTAGATTGACCTAAGGAGGGCCAATAATACTGAAATTATGCTCACAAAGGTTAAGATGCCTCTTCCTGATATGATGGTAAGTTGATACTTCGAAATTTCTTAATTCATGCGAGCATTTTAAAACTATAATCATGCAAGCTAAGATTTCACATTAAAGCATATCATAGTAACAATGGTATTCTTTTTCCATGAAACATAGAATGTAATTTTATGAATGCAAGTATAGCAAGACATGTGGCAGCTTTGTGCATGAAATTGATAAATGCTTTATTGATGATTAAAAAGTATGTCTCTCAAGCTCAAAAGAAAGTGTTACTATATCTATCCAAAAGACTGGCCATGTCTTGTGGTACAGAAGGTTGCACAATAAAGTGCCAAAAAAAGTGTAAGTCAAGTCTTGTAGAGAGTAGAATCTTGTACTGTATATCTGCTTTTGATAATAGATGTTCTTGGAAACAGTTTCTTGCCTTATTATATATCTGCAAAAGTATCAAGCTAAATCTCTTGACTGTAACTTATTCAATTTACGGTTTTGCATGACGAAATTCATATCCAGGCTGCAGTACTGGCTATGGATGATTCAGTGTTAGATGTTGATCAGGTGGAAAATCTCATTAAATTTTGTCCAACCAAAGAGGAGATAGAGCTTTTAAAGGTGAAGCTTAACAAATTTATACGTGATTCTTGCCTCTTTATTAACAATTAAAGGTTTTCATTTCTAGAAATTTCTCTTATAATGAGTTGCTACCTTTCATTATAATTTTCTTGCGTTTCTAATTTTCATTCAATTTGGTTATGACTATATAGGGATACACCGGTGATAAGGAGAATTTGGGGAAGTGTGAAAAGGTTTGTGAATGATTTATTTAAGCCATAATATTATATAGTACTTGAGAAAAGTATAATGTGAGCTCAGAAAATTATGCGGGATTTCTATGTTGCATGAAGCTTATAGACTGGTTTTGTTTTAAGCAAAGGTTGCTGTAAAAATATCCAATACTACTGATGATGTTCTCCAGGGAAACGTTCCAAAATAGAGATGAAAGAACAAGAGTCAAAAGTACAAAGAAAGAAAGAAGAGTACAATTTCAATAGGATTTCGACATCCGAGACTCTCCCAACCAATATCCCCATTGATCCAATTGTCCCCACTCTCCTTCTATCTCTCTATTAATTACATAGATTCCGGCACAATTGTATTATTGGGCATCCTCCTAGTATAGGTCCACTTAATGGGAGGCCTACAGCGAACACCCCAACAGTTTCACCTTGTTCTCAAGGTGAAAATGTGGAAACTGCGCTTTAATTACATCTTCTGATTCCCACGTGGCTTCAAAGTTTGGAAGATCTTGCCAATGAATCAATGCTTCTGCTGTTCCAGAGGCACTGTTTCTGGCTGCCACCACTGGTGCTGGTTGAACTTGTAGCTCCAGGTCTACTGCTAACATACTAGGCAGTAGTTTTGGAGCAATTGAAGGAACTAATGCTTTCTTCAAGAGGGATAAATGAAAGACTGGATGGATTTGCTATCCGGGGTTAGTTTTAACTGGTTGTAAGAAACTTTTCTATTCTTTTATTCCCCTCACCGACTCATTTCTCTTTTAAGCACTAGCCACGCTTCAGCCCTGCACTATTTGCACAGTTCTTCCACTCACGGATCTTATTTCCGGATCACTCACTCACAACTCTTAAGAGATTGTATAGGATACACAAAAACTCACACTTCTTCATATATCTTTCTCACAGAACAATCAACCCTATTTATAATTCTGGTTTACAATAGAATCTGGTATGTGACTGGACTCAATATCTTCACCACCTAATAAGGCAATAGGTTTATGGATCTTCTTTCTTATATAGTGTTCAATTTTTTTATTTTTATCTAATATGTGACTTAGACTCATACTTGGATTCTGAATATAACTGCACCCAAATCTCTATTAGTAGCATTTGTGTCATCAATTAATGTTTAAAAAGTTTAGAACTATTAAGATGGGTAACTCTGCCATTCTTTTCCTGAGTGAATCAAATGCAACTTGAGCTTGTTGCTGCAAAGAAATACTGTCCTTCTTGAGCAACTGAGAGGATGTGCAGTTCTAGGAGTGTCATTTTCCTTCATCCTAATTTGGTGGTACACAAATTTCATATCTAAGAAAATAAAGCAGCACCCCCAAGTCATCCGACAACTCATCAATTACCGATGTAGGGAATTTATCCGGTATAGTTATTTTATTCAATGACATGTAATCAACACCAAACCGCCAACTTTCATCTATTTTCTTAACCAAAATAATGGGCTTGAGTAGGAACTCAAACTTAATAACACCAGATCTCAACATTATCACTAACTCTATATTTTGATATGGCAGTGGGGATACCTTTAGGGTCAAATGTTTGGAATTTCAGCCTCTTCTTTCAATACAATGGTGTGTGATCATGTATTATAAATGGGGGTACGTCTTAAGGTTCTTGAAAAACTCTTGAAAATCCATTCAATATCCCTGCAACCCATTCAAATAAAACTGAAGGGTCTATCTCACTCAATGTTGGAAGTCCTACATCGACTAGAGATAAGGCCAATTTGTGTTAGAATAAACTAAAATTTATGAATTATTAGATAGTTATTGTGAGTGGTAATGTTTAATATATTAGGAGAGCAAGAGTCAGGAAGTTAGTATGTTATTTTTTATATTTATGGTTATTACAGTGTTGTGTTTTTTTGTTATAATTGGAAACACTATGGCTTGGAGATGAAAGGCCAAATGTTTGTCCTTTAAAATGTGATGTTCACGTGATATGAATGCACACAGAAGAAAATTCAGATAATTCTAAGTGAGTGTCATTTTGCTAACAGTTTACTTGTATATGTGAGTGCAAATCTCACCTTACAAGTCAGTTTTGTGAGGTTGAGTTAGATTTATAGTCCACTTAATATAGTATCATATTCATGAGTTAGAGTTTATCCTAATAAAGTTTGTTATTTATTAGGTCTATTGTTTTACCCGTTATCGGACCACGTATTGATGTATATAGTAGAAGCACGAAGCTGTCTTGAAAGTACAGCTTTCCTATAGTGTAGTAATGACAGGATAAACTACTTATACTCCGATTTGATTATAGGAAAGTTAGAAGTGATAAGGATGAAACTATCTGGTGCTATTTGTGATTTGTTTGGAAGTCGTTGCTATTACTAAAATTTAGAAGTAAGGTGAAAAGTAAAGAAATTGAGTAGCCAAACCACCATAACAAGAGAAGCAGGTTTATTTTAAGGAAAGAATTAATGGAATGCGAATTTATGAAACTAAATAATTGCAGAACACTGCTAAAAAATATTCACCCCTACTCGGAGGTTTGTGACATTCTTTGGGTTATGGATGCAAACCCTGTATTTTATCTTTTCATTTTTAAGTCTGTGGCACCACATTGTGGCACATTCCTCTATTGTTGAGACATGGANATATCCAGGCTGCAGTACTGGCTATGGATGATTCAGTGTTAGATGTTGATCAGGTGGAAAATCTCATTAAATTTTGTCCAACCAAAGAGGAGATAGAGCTTTTAAAGGTGAAGCTTAACAAATTTATACGTGATTCTTGCCTCTTTATTAACAATTAAAGGTTTTCATTTCTAGAAATTTCTCTTATAATGAGTTGCTACCTTTCATTATAATTTTCTTGCGTTTCTAATTTTCATTCAATTTGGTTATGACTATATAGGGATACACCGGTGATAAGGAGAATTTGGGGAAGTGTGAAAAGGTTTGTGAATGATTTATTTAAGCCATAATATTATATAGTACTTGAGAAAAGTATAATGTGAGCTCAGAAAATTATGCGGGATTTCTATGATGCATGAAGCTTATAGACTGGTTTTGTTCTAAGCAAAGGTTGCTGTAAAAATATCCAATACTACTGATGATGTTCTCCAGGGAAACGTTCCAAAATAGAGATGAAAGAACAAGAGTCAAAAGTACAAAGAAAGAAAGAAGAGTACAATTTCAATAGGATTTCGACATCCGAGACTCTCCCAACCAATATCCCCATTGATCCAATTGTCCCCACTCTCCTTCTATCTCTCTATTAATTACATAGATTCCGGCACAATTGTATTATTGGGCATCCTCCTAGTATAGGTCCACTTAATGGGAGGCCTACAGCGAACACCCCAACAGTTTCACCTTGTTCTCAAGGTGAAAATGTGGAAACTGCGCTTTAATTACATCTTCTGATTCCCACGTGGCTTCAAAGTTTGGAAGATCTTGCCAATGAATCAATGCTTCTGCTGTTCCAGAGGCACTGTTTCTGGCTGCCACCACTGGTGCTGGTTGAACTTGTAGCTCCAGGTCTACTGCTAACATACTAGGCAGTAGTTTTGGAGCAATTGAAGGAACTAATGCTTTCTTCAAGAGGGATAAATGAAAGACTGGATGGATTTGCTATCCGGGGTTAGTTTTAACTGGTTGTAAGAAACTTTTCTATTCTTTTATTCCCCTCACCGACTCATTTCTCTTTTAAGCACTAGCCACGCTTCAGCCCTGCACTATTTGCACAGTTCTTCCACTCACGGATCTTATTTCCGGATCACTCACTCACAACTCTTAAGAGATTGTATAGGATACACAAAAACTCACACTTCTTCATATATCTTTCTCACAGAACAATCAACCCTATTTATAATTCTGGTTTACAATAGAATCTGGTATGTGACTGGACTCAATATCTTCACCACCTAATAAGGCAATAGGTTTATGGATCTTCTTTCTTATATAGTGTTCAATTTTTTTATTTTTATCTAATATGAGACTTAGACTCATACTTGGATTCTGAATACAACTGCACCCAAATCTCTATTAGTAGCATTTGTGTCATCAATTAATGTTTAAAAAGTATAGAACTATTAAGATGGGTAACTCTGCCATTCTTTTCCTGAGTGAATCAAATGCAACTTGAGCTTGTTGCTGCAAAGAAATACTGTCCTTCTTGAGCAACTGAGAGGATGTGCAGTTCTAGGAGTGTCATTTTCCTTCATCCTAATTTGGTGGTACACAAATTTCATATCTAAGAAAATAAAGCAGCACCCCCAAGTCATCCGACAACTCATCAATTACCGATGTAGGGAATTTATCCGGTATAGTTATTTTATTCAATGACATGTAATCAACACCAAACCGCCAACTTTCATCTATTTTCTTAACCAAAATAATGGGCTTGAGTAGGAACTCAAACTTAATAACACCAGATCTCAACATTATCACTAACTCTATATTTTGATATGGCAGTGGGGATACCTTTAGGGTCAAATGTTTGGAATTTCAGCCTCTTCTTTCAATACAATGGTGTGTGATCATGTATTATAAATGGGGGTACGTCTTAAGGTTCTTGAAAAACTCTTGAAAATCCATTCAATATCCCTGCAACCCATTCAAATAAAACTGAAGGGTCTATCTCACTCAATGTTGGAAGTCCTACATCGACTAGAGATAAGGCCAATTTGTGTTAGAATAAACTAAAATTTATGAATTATTAGATAGTTATTGTGAGTGGTAATGTTTAATATATTAGGAGAGCAAGAGTCAGGAAGTTAGTATGTTATTTTTTATATTTATGGTTATTACAGTGTTGTGTTTTTTTGTTATAATTGGAAACACTATGGCTTGGAGATGAAAGGCCAAATGTTTGTCCTTTAAAATGTGATGTTCACGTGATACGAATGCACACAGAAGAAAATTCAGATAATTCTAAGTGAGTGTCATTTTGCTAACAGTTTACGTGTATATGTGAGGTCAAACCTCACCTTACAAGTCAGTTTTGTGAGGTTAGATTTATAGTCCACTTCTTAATATAGTATCATATTCATGAGTTAGAGTTTATCTTAATAAAGTTTGTTATTTATTAGGTCTATTGTTTTATCCGTTATCGGTATTGATGTATATAGTAGAAGCACGAAGCTGTCTTGAAAGTACAGCTTTCCTATAGTGTAGTAATGACAGGATAAACTACTTATACTCCGATTTGATTAAAGGAAAGTTAGAAGTGATAAGGATGAAACTATCTGGTGCTATTTGTGATTTGTTTGGAAGTCGTTGCTATTACTAAAATTTAGAAGTAAGGTGAAAAGTAAAGAAATTGAGTAGCCAAACCACCATAACAAGAGAAGCAGGTTTATTTTAAGGAAAGAATTAATGGAATGCGAATTTATGAAACTAAATAATTGCAGAACACTGCTAAAAAATATTCACCCCTACTCGGAGGTTTGTGACATTCTTTGGGTTATGGATGCAAACCCTGTATTTTATCTTTTCATTTTTAAGTCTGTGGCACCACATTGTGGCACATTCCTCTATTGTTGAGACATGGATTATAAACAAATTCTTTTGATCTCTTTTAATTAAACTGTGTATGTGTAATATTCTCATATATATTGGTTTATATTTCAGTATTTTTTAGAGCTGATGAAAGTGCCAAGAGTGGAGTCAAAACTTAGAGTATTCTCTTTCAAAATTCAGTTTGGGACTCAGGTTTGCTGTTAGCTGCAATAATTTTCTGATTTTGTTGTGGATCTGGTTTCTTGAGCATCTTATTTTCACTCTGCAGATTACAGAATTTAAGAAGAGTTTACACACAGTCAACTCTGCTTGTGAAGAGGTACTTTGCTTATGAATCTAATAGATGTACCTTCCTTGTTTTTTTCTTTTTAAAACCACTTACTTTTTTTTATCTTGGCCTTAGGTCCGAAACTCATTCAAACTAAAGGAGATCATGAAGAAAATTCTTTATTTGGGTAATACATTGAATCAAGGAACAGCAAGGGGTATGTTTTCTTTAGTAACAGAAATGTTTTTATTGTCATTCTCATCTGGTTAGGGGAAATATATATGGTGTACTTCTCTGTATTTTTAAAATTAGATAATAATTAGCCCGTAATAAGTCAGTAGAAAATAATTTACTTTTTTTTTTTATATCTGTTCTCATATACAACATGAGTGTGAAATGTTTCCATTTTGTACAGGATCTGCTGTTGGATTCAAGTTAGACAGTCTCTTAAAACTAACTGACACTCGTGCTTCAAATAGTAAAATGACACTCATGCATTTTCTTTGCAAGGTAGTAGTCTCACTTGATTTAGATGAACATATTATTTGGCGGTTTAACTTTCAGATTTCTTCTATTTAAATTCCAGGTCCTAGCTGAAAGGTTTCCTGGACTCCTTGATTTTCACCTTGACCTTATTAGCTTGGAAGCAGCCACTAAGGTAACAACTTAGCTTTTGGTTCTTTATATACAGAAGAACAAAGCTTTGCCTTACCTTGTTACCCTGATTTATTGGTCCAGTTTTACATTTTACCCCTTATTTGTTAAAAAAAAAAATCCTTCCTTTTTCAATTACATCTTGCAATGCACCCTTCCATAATTTTAAATACACCTGCATACCATGTGGGTAATACGATGAGTCAATCCATTATGTAACTTGCTTAAAGTTTCAATCATGGTCAAAGCAACTGTACGACTAGGAGACAAAAATCACAACTTTTAGCAGCTAATTCTTTTTTATTTTCCAAACACTCACATTGGACTTTGCAAATGCCACGTTGAATTCGAAGTACTTTACTTTAGACTGGAAATTATGAGGGAAAAGCAGTTGGACTTAAATTGGGGTGGGAAAATGCTGACCTAAATGTAAAAGTCCTAAATTAGCATCCTTCAACTTTGCCCTTTGATAAATATCCACTGTAATTTCAATTTGGAAATTAATCCTTTTAAACTTTGAAGAAAATAGCCCTCAAGCAAAAAATGTGCAAATTTAGAAACCATGGATGAAATTGCAATTTCCCATATTCACAAAATCAAGAAAGTTCGTGCAGGGCCACACTTGTTGAATCAATCAAGATCAACAAAAGTCCCTATTGAATGGGTACTAACTTTTAGTTCTAGGTACCACTTGATAAATACAACTAGGTGTTGAAAGTTTAAGTAGGTTGGTTGCTGAAAATTAAAACCTTAGAGGGCTATCAACCCAGGGATATTTGCACTTTTAAGGAAAAGAGAATGATGTTTGTACTGGATAACTGTTACTATTATTTACGTGATTGCAATGAATAGGGATCATAAATTCGTGATCTTGCAGATACAATTGAAGTCATTAGCAGAAGAAATGCAAGCAATCATCAGGGGATTAGAAAAGGTCAAACAGGAGCTGGCTGCATCTGAAAACGATGGCCCAGTGACTGAAGTTTTTCGTAAGGTGATTAGTATTCTTAATTCTTCATTATATCATTTGAAGATCACAATTCAATGCAGAGAAAGTTATGCGTTTAAACTTAAATCATAATGCTGGTTTGCTAATCTCCTTCTGAGATTAAGCACGGAGTACACAAAGTATTTCCAAAATAAGTGTGTAAAGGTCTCTCTAGTCTATACAATAATAAAGTTATTTTTGTAAGGAAGACTCTCACTAAAGAGGATAATACAAATGTACATTCTTTGCTTCTAGAGTCTTAACTTCATCAAGTGAAGGATTCATAAAATGCACAAGTATTCTATATAAGATGCACTCTAAAAACTAAGCACTTAGAAGTTATGAATCTTTTCTTTGCATGCAAAGTCACCTAAGACTTTTATATCTTGTTTTTCATCAACTATTCTGCATGGCTTTGCTTCTTTTTATCGATGTCCTAGAAGGACCGTTATGACTTGTGTGTTTCTGCTTGTCCTTGTATCACACCTTCGAAGAATGTGTTTGACTTTACACTAGAAAATCCCACTGTTACCCTCTGTGCCATGGTAAAGGACAATTTTTTTCTCTGTAGCTACATCTACTCTTCTGACAGCACGAAAATGAACATACAGACTCAGAAATTAGGTGTGCGTGTGTCAGAATATTCTTAGGGAAGAGTGAGCCGACTTTCTTTTAGATTCGACAACCTTGCATTTTCATAAGCGTCCAGTGAAGTCCACATATATATGTCAGTTATTGAATTCAAAGGCGTCTTGATCTAGGTAGTAGCTTGCGTCCCACGCTTCTTTAGACTCATCTAGGCTTGTAATACTTGCTTCCAACACTTTTGAGTGACTTTGTTTGATCTTCAAATGTTGAGTCCAGATCTTCAGTATGACTTGCTTCTATCTTCCTTGCGTCTGATGTTTCCTTAAACTAGGCTTATCATATTGATCTATCCTCTTGTGATATTTTCTTTTGATCTTTGTATGAGACTAACTCTTCTCCAGAGTTTGTCTAAGACCTACAATTAGTTTTATGAATTTGAGTAATCTACAACATTCCAAGTAACTTTGTTAGACAACCAAAACATAATATTATTTATTATTATTATTATTATCAAAACCATGAGTGTCTTAAGCAAGATTTTCAGATGTAGATTTGTGTCAGACCATGAGTAATATATCTGTGTTAACAACGAGAAGTTAAGTGTTCTCTTGTATTCTGTTATGTTTCTTTCAGATCAGTTAGCTTTGTTTCAGATCAGTTAGTTAGATTGTTTTATATACTTGTATTTACTCTTCAGAAATAATAAAATTTATGTATACATAAATTCTAAAATGTCTCTCCTCTTTCTCAATCGTAATATCTTATATCACTTTTTTAATTCAGACATCGAAGGAATTCATTGCTGTTGCAGGGTCAGAGGTGGCATCTGTAACAAACCTATATTCTGTGGTGGTAATGTGCTTAGCCATCTTTTGGTTGATTATATATATGTATAAGGCAACATACAGATTGTGCAATTTATTTTTGTACAGGGAAGAAATGCAGATGTACTTGCCCTATATTTTGGTGAGGACCCTGCCCGCTGTCCTTTCGAGCAAGGTTGGTTTAGTGTTAATACTTTATTCTTGTTCATGGTGGAACAGAAAAGCAGAGGATGAGAGAGGAGAGTAGAAAAGGAAAGGAGGACACACTGTAGTTTCATCATTCTTGATTTGTTGTTTGGCATAAAGAAGTGACATGTTCTATCATTTATTTTATAACACTGAAGCTAACATGTTATTGTTTTTTTTCTTTGGTTTGTAGTTACTGCAACTCTCTTGAATTTCACAAGGTTGTTTCTGAAGGCACATGAAGAGAATTACAAACAAACAGTGTTAGAGAAAAAGAAAGCTGATAAAGAGGCTGAAATGGAGAAGGCTAAAGGCATTAACTTCATAAGGAAGAGTGGAAAAGATGAAGAAGAAAGTTGAGAAGGTGGCTGAAGTGTAGAAGACTAAGGGTATTCACTTCAGTAGAAAGAGGGCAAAGATAGTTGAAGACTTGTCTGCTCATTTCCACCAACGTCATTCTGAAGCTAAAGAGCAGAGATCTACCAGTGGGTAGTAAGGGGACTGCTTCCGATTTTGAGTTAAGTAGCCCACTTGGGAGATCTTGGTGTGACAATTAGCCTTTCAAGGTGATCTAATGAAGTGAAATGGCACATTCTTTCCATCTATGAACATACAGAAAAGTCTTGGGAGTGGATTCATTGATGACATCTTGAATCAAATTTTTGTTGATCATTCACAGAAGAATACTCGGGAAAGGCCAATCTAGACCGAGCATGAATGCTTCTCTGATCACTTGAGAATCATCGGAATCCAGTGAATGCCATGATAATGGATCTGATCTTAAGATTTAATAAGAAATTTTGAAGTCCGCCATGCTTCTGCTAAAGTAGACCAGGCTTTGGTTTTTAATCCATTCATTTGGCATTTTTCCATCAACTAAAGCCTAATGTCGAACCATGAAAAAACCTTGTACAAAGTTTGAAACCCTCATCTCTGGGATCAATTCTTCTCATGTAAAATAGAACGTAGCTTCCCCTTCTTCCTTTTAATATAGATTTTAGTAGACACCCCAAGAGCATGTTGTAAGCTGTCAGGTTAAGAAAAGAAAAGAATTAGAAATAAGGTCTCTATATTGTAATTGTATGACAAGCCTGAGATAGGAATCCTAGTTTCAGTTTATCTTTTGTAATGATACATATTAGTGAAAAAGCTTCTTGTTGCATTCGGTTATCCCAGGGTTGGAATGTGTGCACACATTTGATAAAAGACACTCTTCAAATTCACTGATCCGATAGCCATTTAAATTTAATTGTCTTGGCCTGGGAGGTACCTCACTGAAAGGCTATATTTGCATCTGCTGAGAGACATTTTCCATTTGTGACGCCATTTTGTCATCATTTTGAGACTTCATTTGGTTTGGACATTCAGAATCTTTTACTTGAGATATAGCAGAATAAAGTTGCTAAAATAACTTGATTGTCGCCCATCTAGGAAAGAAAATATTAAGTATAGCCCAATAGGTGTGCTATACAATCACTAAAAATATGCTTATCAATTCACATTTATATATTTATGAATTTGTTAGCTTTTCTTCGATTTTTCAAACCACACACCCTAATCTTAATCTTCTTAGTATGACTTTCCAATTCCACGCTTTAACTTCACTGATATTATTGTGCAGATAAATAGGAATGGTGGAAAAGGGTTAAGTAAATGAACTTTGTTATCGTTAGTTTACTTTTGTCTGAGTTAGAAGGTGGAGATGAACATGAATCACATATAGATAAATACAATGGAATAGGAGGATCTGAATAACAATGGTCATTCCATTGTTTTTGAATGTTTTTATAATGGAATGCAACAAAATTTTCATTCTATAGTTCAGAAAAATTTCTCATGGAATGAGTTTTAACTTTTAATTTCTCGCTTTCCAATCTATACAAACGCAAAAAAATGAGACAATGCTTCCACCCTCTAAGCATGACCAATCAAACAGTATTGTTTCCCATGCCTCTCAAGGTTTGGCCGATTAGGCGAATTGCGGATCCATTCCTGATTTTGAATAGAAAATTCCCTCTCTTTGCATTTCCTCTGTTTTTCGTCAACATTGATCCATGACCCACTGGGAAAAGTATGGAAATATCTACAAGTTCGGTTTAAAAACACTAAATTTCAGTTGAACTTTATAGAAGCAATTCAGTTTTTTTCTGTAATTAAAAGTAGGTTCCGTGGTTTGGTGTCCATATATCATGATTTGTCGGGGCTTACTTCCATTCAATGATGACAGATGTACTTGGGAAAACAATACACTAATACCAGCACCCTATCATTCATTGGTTTACACTAATATGCTGTCATGCATACATTTTGAGAAATAATTTAGAGGCTTGAGCTGATGTAGAATGAACATATTCTTCATGGGATCCACAACTCATGCAAATCCTAAACAGCTAGACTATAATTTGTCTTTCATGGGATTCTAAAAGTAATTATGCTGGAAACCTCAGCAATAATAAAATGTGTGACCCTTTAAGATGTGATTATTCATATTCATCTATCAAACACGTTACAAAACGCAAGGAAACAAACAGCAGCTTTCGTATTATTCACAAGTAAAATATTGCCAATAAATATACAAGGTAGAGAGTTGGAATAAAAGGAAGACAGATTTTAACAGCATAAAAGAAAGACATAAAAATAAAATGGTGAATCAATCTTCAGCTTCTAGCTTTTTCACATAGCTGAGCTGAGGTTCCTCTGTGAAAAAACCCTTATCCTTCGGAAGTTGCTCGACTTGGTTCGAGTAACATGAATGAATTTTTTCAAAAGCATGCAATACGTTTAAAATAACTTTGAGTTCCTTCCTTTTTGTGAAGCATAGAAAAACCTTATGCCAAATTTATTACAAAGATAATGTTACCTTGTTCTTAAGGTAGTTCTTCAAAATTCTTGAATACCATGTAACCACAACTGTCCTCCTCTGTCGGGAAATCAATCATCGAAAACATCTTGTCTTCATGATCACCCCTCAACCCCATCTTGCAGAATTTGTAAAACATGCAGCTGACAATTGTGTCAATTATGATGAAAAGTGAGTACAAGTAAGCAATCAAAATGCCTTCTAAAACCGTAAAAGGCCATGATGACATTCCATAACTGTGATAGGCTCTTACAACCCTGAACTGGAACAAGGCCTCAATGGCTGCAAGGCCAACATTGGCAGGCAGTGCCAGGAACAAAGCCATTGATGTCTTTCCCCTTAGCATAACACAGGCCTTCAGAATTGCCATGAACCCCTTATGTTTCTCCATGCCAGATACAGTGAGTGCCATGTTGCAGATCACTAATGCATTGGCAAGGATCACAGAGAAGAGACTGCAGCTGCAGCTGACATCAAACGTGTGCTCCTTGGTGAAGAGTAACAAATCCTTCAGCAAAGGTGAAGGCCAAAAACAGGAGACAAAAGCAAGATGCATTTGCAGAGAGAATAAAGAAAGAATTGTAGATATAGGTCAGGAGGAGAGGCTTGTAATGGTATAGGGTGGAAGTGAAGGAAGGAGGAAAACTGCGGTTCCGTCTACGGATGTTGATATCCGTTTAAATATTATTGAAGGGCAAAAGAGGAATTGGAAGGTACAGGAAGTAAGGTGTGGTGGTGGAGAGAGTAACACCTCCTAAGAAACTCATTGGCCCAATTACCTGTACCAGACCCAACAACAAGCTTCATTTCCGTACATCATCCAAGAGCTTTGAGTAATGGGATGTCGGTACTAGGTATACGGATTAGAGTATCTGGTTTCCAATATCCGTCATCCTATTATGTCTTAGGACTATAGCCTTTAACAGGAAGAGTCTAAAGGTCCTTAGTCCTACCCTTACAAAAGGTTAGTTGCATGTGGTTACAGATCATTTGAATATGTATTGGATATTTGTTTAAAAAATTTGGACTAACATGATGTTTTGAGAAGTCTATTGCTATCACGTTGTAGAATTTGAAAATTGTAATCAAACTTTAAAGCCAAAGTAGTGGAGGTTTGGAATGGAGATTAGGTCATTCCTTAATTGTTATGGTTAAATTGTCTAGATTACATATTGAAACAGAACACTATGCCTGACGAAGTGGTTTCGATTAAAAAAACTGTTAGGAGATTTATTCACAGAATGTTGGGTTTTATCACTGGCTTAGTATGGAAGTTGTGTTCCTCTGACATGATCATTGGTGCTTTGGAAACTTATGCTGGACATGTTGCCTTTGATTGTTAACTTTCAAGGAAATTCATTTATGTTCTGTGTGTTTTTATGTCTTTAGCATACAAACTTTTCATTATTTCTTCTTTGATTGCTCAGTTACTCTTGTTTTGGGATTGGTTCCAAATGTAAAACAAATTAATCAATAACTACCAATAAATATTAACGATGAAGAATTACTGATAAATTTAATTTGTTAATAATTACTGTCGTATTTTTATTTATCTTCAATTTTTGTTGATAATAATTTCATTGATAGATTTTTGGTAATTTACTTTATTGATAAATTTTTTATTATTGATGGATTTTGTTTTGTTAATAAATTTAATTCCTTTCATAGTTATAAAGAAATAATATTTTTAAAGATGTAATGAAAAATAATCAGTTTTGTAATTATCAAAAGTTTTCAATATCCACATCCATCCTCGTACAACTCTTCACATTTTTGTATGTTTTTGAAAATCATCTCCCTTAGGATATGTGAAAGGTTTTGTGGATAGTGTTCTTCAATGATATTATGATTTTTTTTAGGGGAAGTAGATGAAAATATATGTGAGATCTTATCTTGGGATTAAGACTGAGTTTCATTATTAATCCCTTAATTGGTAAAGGAGACAGAGGAAAATAATAATTTAGCAAAGAAATAAAAGAAAAAAAATTGGGGGAATTCGTTGTATTATTCGACATTTATTTTTTATATATCTTTTATAGTTTACAAAATCAATTAGATTATTAAAACATGTTTTGAAAATATTTTGTTTTTATTTCTCACATGTGTTTATTTTACAAACAATCAAATATTAAATTTTATTTCTTACATAATTTTTTTTATAAAGCCATGTATTATTTAATTTTATCTTACATATTTCCATTTTATAAGTGTTGGAAGAAAGTTGGTTGTGGTGGTTGTTGATGATTTAAATTGTTTGATGCTTAATTTGTTGGGAGCCTAATTGTCACGCCGTATGTATGTATAACATGTGAAGTGCGTTCTTTAGGCAAGGAGGGTAAGGAAATTACGTACACGACTACGCCTTCTTTTTCACATTATTCCATTTATATAACTTCTCACACTTCACATTAATTAATCACAAGTAAGCACATTAAATGCAAATCTAATTACTAATCGCGAGAGATTTTAATTTCAGTAATAAAGTGTGTTTCATAGGACCTTATACATTAGTTTTGTCAAATGTTAAAAATTATTTTTCATATTTAGATTTTTGCATCATATTGTTTAACTAATGTACTAAGCATAACATTTATTTTTCCATCATATTTTTTAAAGCTCTTTCTTGTAAAATAATTTATAGATTATAGAATTCCGAAGACTAGATGTAGAGACGGTAAAATAGGCTTGAGTTGGGTAGTAGTTTTTAATTCATCGGTCCTTTTTAACGCCTTAATTTGATAGGCTAAAGCTTAACCTACACGTAAAAGTGTTTTTATTACACAATTAGAAAGATAAAATGAGAAGTGGATGCAGAAGAAAGGTACGAGGGTGTAAAAAGAAATCCTATGGCCAGCCCAATCCAGAAGCCCTCTAACGACTCTATACATAATTCCAAAATATCTTATGTAAGGCATTGGCTTCCAACACCCCTTAAATGTGTTTCCTGCAAGCTACCATGGATTGTGAAGTTTCAAGAGTAGGTTTTATAGCTTTATTTCAATTTTAACCCTATTTTTTGCTGAACTTGTTCTTGGCTATGCGATAGTTCTTCTGCTGCAACCCACGGTGCTCCCTCATCTTCACTTAGACAAGCATTTGGAGCTTTATAGAGCAATGTTTGGACTACATAAGTAAGTCTTTGTTTTCAAGAAATAGGTTGTTCTAAAAGCCATTGGAATGGAAATGTTTATTACTAGAAGAAAGTTTCTGAACAACCAACTCAAAGAGGAAATTGTAAGGAAATAACAAGATAATAATTGAATGAATAAAAAGTCAAAAGAAAGCAAAGAATAATTATCTGAGCCAGCAATGTGAGTAATTTTGGTAAATGATGAAATTAAAAAATAACTGACAAAATCTCTGCATACTTATAATCATGAACAGGGGATAATAAGTTGAAAAAAATCTATGGCAGGTTCCTTAACCGCGTTTATAAATCAGAGGGAAAGGAAGAAATAATGAAATTAGAGATGTCATGTACACATCCCTCGTTGCCCAACAACATCATATTTAATTACAAAAAAGACAACACATCACTGTCTTTTTCAATCAATAAATAAAATTTAATTATTGAACCGTATGCAATGCGACTGAAAGTGGCTCTGACTATTTCAAATTCAATTAGAGTAATGATAAGATAATATATATTTACATTCATTCAATACATATTATAAAAATAAATATAAAAAACTTATGTATGTGAAAATATTATTTCTCTTTCAGCTAATGCACACCCAAAACACTAACATACCCCTTCATATATATATATATATGATTCTATTTCTCTATATTTCGTAACATTCATAATCCAAATGACGCAGCAAAAGCGGTTCAAAAATTTGACCCAAAACCTCAAAGACAAAGCCTCCGTCATCGCCGCGGTCCTATCCCCGAAGCGCCACGCCTCCTCCGTCCGGGTTCACGTTCTCCGCGCCACCACGCACGCCCTCACGGCTCCTCCTCCGAAGAAACCATCGCCGCCGTACTCACGGTGGGGCAGGGCTCCAACCGCAACCCGCGCGCCTGCATCGACGCGCTATGGACCGCCTACACAACACGCGCAGCGCCACGGTGGCGCTCAAGTGCCTCTTCACGCTACACAACGTCGTGGTGAAGGGACCCTTCACGTTGAAGGACCACTCTCGTGTTACCCTTCCTACGGCGGCCACAACTTTCTTAACCTCTCGAACTTTCGCGACGAGTCGGACGTGGAATCGGTGGAGCTGAGTTCGTGGGTGCGGTGGTACGCCGGCGTGCTGGAACAGAGCCTCACGGTTTCCAGAGTCTTGGGGTATTACCTCAACGCCTCTCGCGAATCCCAAGAAAGCAAAAAGATTATCCTTTCGAACGCGTCGGATGCGGATTTGTTGTACAAGGTGGAGGCGCTGGTGGGTTTCGTCGAACAAATAAGCCACGTGCCTGATTCGCTGCACCTGCAGAGGAACGAGTTGGTGTACGAGGTGGTACGCTGGTGGGCGAGATTTTAGGAGCGGTGCAGGTGAATTTTGTTGCGCGTGGAAGAACTGGGGAGAGAATGGATGAATCTTGATGTGGGTGAGTTGAACCGTGTGGTGGATATTTAGGGAGATTGGAGGAGACTCGGAAAAGTTGGTTCTTTTGTTCGTGAATAGGAAAAGGAACAATGGATTCTGGGATTTGGTTCAAAAGACTAAGGTCAAGGGAATGGCCAAAAAGAGGGAGATTGAAGGGAAGTGGCTCACGGTGGTCGTTAACACCGGCGCCGCCGAATTGGCTCGCTCATCCAACCCGTTTCTTGACCCGGGGCAACTCAGTCCGGTCCCACGAATAGATTTTGCAACGGTAAGGTGACATATGGCAACGGTTACTTTCAGTCAGTAATTCGTTATTTTTTGTTGTTGCTTTTTTTCCCTTTTATTTTGGTGATTCGCGCAGTGTGCTCCTCCCATTTGGAAGTGGTGGTGCTATAACTTTTTTTCCATGTTTTTTTTTTTATTACTTTTCTTTTTCTTATTTTCTTTGATATTTGAGAAAGATTAAAGTGAAAAAGCACTTAGAATAATCATGTATATCCATGTAAAAAGAGATTTCTGTGGAAAAAGAAATAAGAGATTTTTGTGAACTTTTGATTTTTCTACCCTTTTGTGTTGCTCTGCTAAGTTATTTTATTAAAACAATACTAGGAATGTGATAATTAAAAAATGTATGTAGTAGCATATAAAAATGGCAATTAGCACAATTTATATTGTTTTCTTTTATGATTACTTTTTCAACTCCGAATTTAAGTTTGTGTTGAGTAACTTTTATAAATGATATTTAATGCTATGAGATGGGATTTCAGTTCATATTGAAATCTAACCTAACATGACATCCTAATATATGTATGTAAGTTTCGTCTCATTAAATGAAGCATAAAAGGCAGTGTAGTATATGTGAAAGGAATGCAATGTAAACAATTAAGAAAAATTGTTGGAGAAGAAGCTATAGAAAAAACACACGATAAGACGCGAAAGAAGAAAAAATTATTGACATTTCAAACTATAAAAGAAGATATTTACAAATCACCTGTTTTGTGTTTATTTAACATGATTTTCATATATATTTGATAAAAAAAAAAGTAAAAATCATTTTATATGA